ATGCCCATGTTTGGGCCTAAACAGTAGTGGATAATTAAAAATTGTTTGGTAGCTATTCTCACGACTAAGTAATGTGTTATATTTTTGGGACATTGTTCAGTTATAATTAACAACACTACAACTACACACTGTGGTAAATTAAAATGTGTGTGTAGTAGAATTTACGTTATTTAACAGAAAACACTGTACAAAGTAAGAACTAAATGTACAAGCTTAAAGATTAAAATATTGAAAACCCGACCGTAAAATTTTTTCTAAGAAGAGATAACGTTTATACACTATGTCACAACTAACACGATTCCTACGACATACTATATGTGTAAATCCATCAAGTTGTTTAGGCTACAAAGCATGCCAAAAAGAAATAGACATACATATATATATACATACATACTCACGCATGCGCCGCGCTTATGTGCGGTTGTTTTTTGTATTAATAATGGCAGATAGAAAGTTAAAGTGTAATAATTGTAATTGTTGTGTATGTACGTTAATAATATGTATGTGTGCGTGGCTGCGCCCACGGTATGTGTCTAATAGAGTTAATACAGTCAGTGTATCAATAGCTGTATTTTGTTTCACTTGTCTCCCGTACCAAGAATATAACAGTAATAAGGTAATAAGTAAAGTGCTTTCATTCATACAAAACAAGCATGAATCTCTGATTCAAGTCTGCATATCAGCTTTCTCAGATTCGGATATTGAAGAGGCTAAAAACTTAATATTTGAATCAGTTACGACATCAAAACGGAAAAAATCACGTCGAAAAGACGGCCGAAAGCAACAAGTTCTATATGTCTTATCAAAGAAATAGATCCAGATATGCTACCAATTTTTGTAGCACGGGACTTGCAGAAACTGCCTTCTGTATCTTTTGTTGCTAAGTTACTTAAGGATTTAGTGCTTATTCAAAATGAAATTAAAATTATTAAGGAGAGCTACGCAACTCTAGATTTTGTAAATAATATACGTATAGAGTTAAATAATATAAAGTTAACAATGGCAAGTAATGATAAAAAGGTAAATACAAGAAAAAATAACCTAAATTTTATGGATAGCGGGCCGGTTGGCTTATCATTTTTAACAAATACCGACAATGAACCACAACTAGTCGAGTGGCACAATAACGTAGCAGCAGTGAATCATAATGCAGTTTATTCGGCCGGCTCGCAAGCGTCGATAATTGTAGCGGACGTAGTCACTGATAATGCAAATGCGTCCCTATGTAATTCTACGGATCAGCGGATAATCGAGTGTGAGCCTACAACGGCGCACTACAATACAGATTCGATGCAAAATGGGCGACTTAATATACGTCCGACAATGGCTGAAATGGTGCGGAGGGATGGTGTTTGGAAACAAAAAAGAGAGAATGATAATGAATGGATGCTCGTAGAACATAAAAGAAAATATAGAAGTCGCTTTGTCGGTCAAAAAGTTAAAGCGTTAACAAATAGCGATTCGAGGTTTAAGGCTGCATAAATCAAAATTCCGTTGTTCATATCTAATGTTAGAAAGAAGTATCTGAAATGGACATATGTGAGTATATGCAAAGTAAGACTCAAGAGATAGTGAATCTTGAAAAATAAATACGAGTATGATAAAGGATAGACCTTATAATTCTTATAAATTATTTGTATCTGGGAATAAGATTTATACTTTCCTTGATGATAATTTATTGCCGGACGGAATAACTTTTAGGAAATTTATCAACTTTAGGCCGCGTAATATTCGACGCAAAATATACGACGGAAAGTGTTATGAGTCTATAAAAAAGAATGCTGCACAATAATTGACGGCGCCGTGGCGCAATGGCTTAGCAATGAGCTGCTGCGCTAAGAGCCGCGGGTTCGAATCCCGCACGGAACAAGAATTTGTATGGCCTACAATTGTTCCGGGTCTGGATATATGTCCTCGTGAAATTTATGTATGTAAACTGCCCCCACGATACAGGAAAAAAAATCCTAGTGTAGAGGTAACATTTTTTGAAAAAAAAAAAGAAAAAATACATGTAGTATAGCAAGATAGTAAGCTATAACTGTAAAAATATAAAAAGGAGTATCAACTGTGTCAGGTCATTATGCAAAACGGCTGATGTATTAACCCTCCAAGAAACGTGGCTGTTACCTTGTGTGGCGGCGCTGTCGTCGCGCCACAAGGGAAACACATCGAAGCCTAAATTGCACTAACAAAGTTCTGAAGTTAAAGCAGTATATATAGAATAGCTCCGAGCTACCACTCGGGAGCGCTGGCCGCTCCCCGGGCAGAACACCTTGCCTGGCGGCAGATCTCCCCTTTTCCTTACACCCACCACAGTGGTGACCACCCGACGTGATATGAACATGCAACCAACAACCTTCCGCAACTACAACTGCAAAACCTTCGTCATCGTCCTCAAGTACCCCATTCATTCGCTCGCGTGCAGATATTGTCTGCAGTCTTCACATTCTGCAAGCCATCTAGCTTTATAAAGATTCATCGCAGCACTGGAGTAATAATGCTTCCTGTTTCTTCAAGCTACTCTCTGCGCTACAGTGTTCGGCACGGCTCTGAGCCTTACTGCTCGCCTCTGCTTCACGGCCTTGCCTTCTTCTCGACTCACCGCAGACTACAAGGCAATACCTGGCACTTGCTCCGGCTCATTGTTCTCACCGGCATCACTTGCAAGTTCGTAGTACGGCATGCGTTACACACCGGCATATCGTTCGCATATCGTTCGCTCCGGCGTCACTTGCCCTTACGCACACGGCATGCATTTCCCACCGGCGTTAAGGACGCACCGGAAATCGGACTGCAATATCGACCTCCGATCTGAGCAGGGGGGTGATGTGGCGGCACTGTCGTCGCGCTACAAGCGAAACACATCGAAGCCTAAATCGCACTACCAAAGTTCTGAAGTTAAAGCAGTATATATAGAATAGCTCCGAGCTACCAATTGGAGCGTTGGACGCTCCCCGGGCAAAACACCTTGCCCGGCGGGATATCTCCCCTTTTCCTTACACCCTCCACATCTTGCGAACTATCATTAGTAGGCGAAACTGATAAGGATTTCGTATATACGGCAAAGTCAGTGGTGGATTTGGAGGCTGGTATTTTGCGAGGCAGGCCTCACGGCGGTGTTGCTATCCTATGGCGAAAAAGCATATTTATGAATGTGACAGTGTTCAAGTGTAATAGTGAAAGTATTGTCGCAATAAGAGCAATGATAAGTGCAGATCGTGAAATACTTATTATTGGTGTATATATGCCGATCGATCAGTTTGAGAACTTGCCATTATTTACTCAATGTTTAGTTTATTTGCTAAGTGCTATAATACAAAACTCTAATGTAGACGTAGTCTTTATGTTTGGGGATTATAACGCTCATCCAACCGCTCCTTTTTGTGATGAATTGATGGACTTTTGCAAGGAATATGTTTGAATTTGCGTCAATTTATGTAAATTAGGCATTTCATCTAGTACTTATACATTTATAAGTGAAGCCCATGGGTGTAAACGCTGGCTGGACCACTGCTTTGTAACTAAAGCAGCTTGGCAGTCACTGGTAAGCAATAGAGTTATTAATGACATTTATTTTACAGATCGTGATGCTCGGTGATTTTAACGCCCACCACGCTGAATGGCTTGGTTCCCGTTTAACTGATCATGCGGGTAGATCTGTCTATGACATTGTCTTGGCATATGGTCTATAACTGTTTACTTCGCCTATACGGTTTTTTAGATGTGGAGGATCATGTACCTTCCCTGTTGGACCTTCTGCTGACCTCTCATCCGGACGGATATCAGGTCTCCGTCGATGCCCCTATGGGCTCTTTGGCTCATTGTCTGATCCGGAGTACAGGAAGTACAGTGACACTTACGCTCCTTTAGCAGTTGCGATCTGCAGCTTTCCGCCGTGTTTGGCACTATAGGTCGGCCGATTGGGACGTGATGCGGTCTTTTTTTGCATCTTACTCATGGAGGCGGGTTTGCCTCTCGCCAAGTGATCCAAATGTCGCTGATATGATACTTCAGGGAATGGAATTATTTATTCCATCATCTGTGGTGCCTATTAGAGGTAGAAATCGGCCATGGTTTGGTCACTCCATATTGGGCCTGGGCTGACGCATCAACGTCCCGGGATGTAAACACCAGCCCTTTCAATAAGAAGTATAATTCTGCCTCCAGGTCCTTCAAAAGTGTCATTGCCTAGGCAAAGTCAGAGCACATCGGCAGAATTGGCGAGAAACTAGTTCGCCTCCCTTCGGGAACACGTGCATTCTGGTCTCTCGCCAAGGCTGTCCAAGGGAACTTCTGTCAGCCATCTGCACAGGTTGGACGACTCACTGGCCCATGACTCAAAAGAGAAAGCCGATCTGCTAGGCTCTCTTTTTGCTTCCAACTCCACTGTAGATGACGGGGGGAACACACCGCCGACCATCCCGCGGTGTAAGTTCTCCATGCAGGGAGTGCTGTTTACACAGCGCTTGGTGCATAAAGTACTCTCCCTGGACGTTAACAAGTCGAGTGGGCCTGATGGAGTCCCACCTATTGTGCTAAAGACGTGTGCTCCGGAGTTGGCACCGTTTTAACTTATGGAAGACAGCTTTGGCACACCCGATCCCTAAAAAAGGCGACCACTTAGATCCGTTCAACTACAGGCCTATCGCTATCACCTCCTTGTTCTCCAAAGTAATGGCAACCATTATTAACAGCCAGCTCATGCGGTACCTTGAGGATCAACAGCTGATTAGTGACCGTCAATACGATTTCCGAAAGAGCAAAGTGGACTGTCGGTATATGGAATTGCTAAAATGCTTATACAGTAGGACTACGATGGCTACCCGAGTATAGAACTTATCCAACTGCAGAGAAGTGTAAGACAGGGTGAGATTATATTCTCGAAAATCTTCACCGCTGCATTAGAAGACGTTTTAAAGCTACTGGACTGAAAACGATACGGTATTAACATCAATGGCGAGTACATCACTCACCTTCTATTTGAAGACGATATAGTCCTTATGGCAGAATCGCTGGAGGACCTAAGCACTATGCTCAATGACCTCAATAGTGTCTCCCAATGGATAGATCTTAAGACGAACATGGACAAAACAAAAATCATGTTTAACGTGCATGTCTCACTTATGCCGGTAGTTGTTAGGAGCACTAAGCTCAAAGTTGTTGACGAATATGTTTACCTCGGACAAATAGTCCGACTAGGTAAGTCCAACTACGACCAAGAAGTCAATCGACGGATTCAACTCGGCTGGGCAGTGTTCGGGAGATTGCGACACATCTTCTCGTCAGACATACCTCAAAATCACAAAACTGGATTGTAAAACCAGTGCGTGTTGCCAGTGATGACCTATAGATCTGAGACGTGGTCCTTCACTGCTGGCCGTATGAGGAAGCTCAAAGTTACTTGAGAGGGCTTTGTTTGGCATTTTTCTGCATGATAGACTTAAAAACGAGTATATCCGCAATAGAACCAGAGTGACCGACATAGTCCAAAGAATTAGTATGCTGAAGTGGCAATGGGCCGGCCATATAACTCGAAGAACCGACAACCGATGGGGAAGAAAGGTTCTCAAGTATCAGCCTCGTACCTGCAGGCAAATTGTAGGGCGTCCCACCACTAGATGGAGTGACGACCTGGTAAGACATGCAGGAAGGCAATGGATGCAGGTGGCTCGGGACCGTGCTTTGTAGCGTTTCCCTCAAGGAATGCTACAAAGCACGGCCTAGAGCAGTAGACTTGTGAAAGGCTGTAGTCACACATGATACATCATGATGATGATGATGATGATGATGAATGTTGATAACGAATCCTATCCAGATCAGTAGCACTAAAATTATTTCCATTGCAGCAAAAAAATTTTCGAGGATATAAAATTACTCTGTAAAACACCTCTTTGCATTTGAATAGGTTTCTTATAACTGCAGAGAGTCTCTGTCATGTTCTGTCCTGGGATAGTTATTGCAGTTCTACAGTATAAACACTTGAGCACTTAGATATATCAACAGTCAACCTAGCACTGCTGAAAGTTTTTTTTTTATAGAATAAGGTTGATATAATTAATAGAATCAGGCATTACTTTGCGGAAATCCATTATATAAAAGCTTTTAGAAAAAATTACTTAGCAAATATCCGCATTATAAAATAAAATGTTGTGTCTTACCTAGTATAAAGAGCACCTCCCGCCCTCCCTCAATTGCGTGCACTATCCCCGTCACCACTAATCCCAGCACCGCTACTCCCAACACCACTACACTAGGCAAGACACACCACTGACGATAATACGACACGTGTTTCGCCTCTACACGAGGCATCCTCAGGTGATATAGACTCTACGGTGGCTAACCGCTGACTTAGCGTAGCGAGTGTAGTGGTGTTGGGAGTAGCGGTGCTGGGATTAGTGGTGACGGGGATAGTGCACGCAATTGAGGGAGGGCGGGAGGTGCTCTTCATACTAGGTAAGACACATCATTTTATTTTATAACGCGGATATTTGCAAAGTAATTTTTTCTAAAAGCTTTTATAGAATAAGGTTGACATACGAGCACACAGACCACCTGATGGTAATTGGTTGCTGTGCCCCATAGACATTTACATCTATATTCGTTTGCGAATTAAAATGCAGATGCGTTGTCAGCCGTGAGGACTAGGATAGAATGCCTCTTTTCCAGTAAAAAGGGTCTCCGGTTCTCTACACTCACCATACGAAACACAGCAGCGTTAAGCTGCTTTTTTACGCTGGTATTCTGTAAGAGCGTGGTCCTTCCGTGGTCGAGCTGACCCATTCGTGCTACAACTATACTATTGATATTGCTGCGGCATGGCTCTACCACGTACTGTAGCACCAACTAAATTTCGATGGTATTAAATTATTTGTATTCGTCTTTGACTTCTATACAAAATGTCGAAGAGTATGAATGTATACTTAAGCCCATTCGGAAACCGGCTTTTTCTGGAGGATGTATGCCGACAAGATTGCATGCGAAATTATTCGAAGCTAGAATCGAAAGTGCACTTACAGTGGCTGAGAAGGGAAATCGATGTGTAGTTGTACAACGGAACATTATCACCTTTCTTTAAGAACCAAATCCCCGCATATCCGCTCCACATCTCTAATGTTGCGTCAACATGGAAGCGAAACTCATCAGCATCCAAAGACTTAATGTACAGGTTTTACCTAAACTTAACCCTGCTGTAATTTCACCAAATAAAACATAACATTGTACTTGATTTTTTTTTAATTTTCCCAATTTAATCTTTTTTCTTTCTTCTTCCAACAATATTTTCTTTTACTATGAAACATGTAACAATAACCTCGTGGGAAAATGTGGAAATCAGTAAATTTTTTACTCTGCTTTTGTTTTTATCACTGTTACAGCGTTAACAGATCCAGATGATTTTATCACTGTTGCAAACTCGTGTTTAGACAAAGGCTTTTTATATGATTTTTCTAAGCCGTGGCTTGGAGATGGATTATTGACTGCACCGCGTAAGTGAAACCTGCATTTCTTATTTTATGTACTCAAAACAAAAAATAAAGTTTTATATTTATGACCATATACAGTAACAAAATGGAAAACCCACCGAAAATTACTAAATACGGCATTTAACCAGCAAGTTTTAGATGGATTTTTAGATGTTTTCAATAGACAATCGAGGATTTTACTTAAACAATTATCTGTGGAAGAGGGAAAAGGACTTTTTGATCATAAAAAGTACATAATGCGAAACTCTTTGGAAACAATATACTGTAAGTACCTTTACAAATATTATAATATTATATTTTGAGTTCCGAGTACATGATCCCCGATACCCAAGGAGGAGTGGATGTTGTAGCTTAAATACAACATTTTATTCGTGATGAAAAATCAAAATGCAAATGCGTTCCCAACCCTTTTTAAGTACTTATATGGAATATCTTGTAAGCATTAATAAATTAATATTAAAAGAATTTTTAAAAACAAGCATTTATTTAAATTCTCTAAAAAGAAGAAAATCATTTTGTTATATTTTACAATTTTATGTATTATATACGTACAGGTCAAGCTACTTAAGCGTGTTGAAAGCTTTTTTAACCCACAAACATTTAATAGAGTAGCAGACCAAATATTCACTAAAAATTGCGTAGCCTTTACGCTCACACATGTAGTTTTGAATGACAACACTACCTATATGTGCCTATGTGTGCGTAATGACAACACAGTTCCGAACTAGGACCGGTTGCTGGTATTATTTAACTAAACTAAATTTTAGTACTTAACTTAAAAACTGCAAAAATCGATATTCTCTGTGTATAAGAAGTGTATATTACATATCAATAAAGTCTTAACTTCTTAACAATTTTTTTAAGATCCTAGTTAGGCCCTGGTCCCGGTTACGTTGCAGATGTTGCTTATCAATATGGCGGCGCGGGATGAATAATCTAAGCGTAAAATTTTCTCTACGTATGTGTCAGTGTGACAATAGGTGACAGATCGAGTCTGTCTACGACTTGTCGCTTAGAAAAAAAGGGATATGATAAAAAATCATGCATATCTCTACGGATATAAGTGTGTATTAATGTTTCGTCTGCAACTCTATTATATGTCTGTGATTTATTTATCTAAATACAGTGATGTAAAATATTTCGATACTCAATTGTGCGGATTGTAAGGTTAAAGATGCGGGTTGGTGAGTGCAAAGCCAATACCAGCACACTGGTAATGCTGCTCACCGGCCTGTGAGATAATTAGTGAAAATTTAGAAAACTTGTTTAACTATTCGTTAATCTGTGCTTATGTGGTATAAGCACATATTAACGAATAGTTATCATAAATTACTTATGGAATATTTTGCATAAATTACTGCAAACACTATTATAAAATAACAGATGATTATTTTTGTTTTAGTGACAGCAACAGGAATAGATTTAAGAGCCGACAAAACACTTAACGAAAAGACTGTGACCGTAACAGATAGAGCTATCAGAAGTGTGGTTTACAGAGTTCAAACTATATGGTATTACAAAGATTTTATTTGGAATATGAGCAGTACAAAAAAGCAACTAGATAAGGATATCGAGTTCTTACACAGTGTATCTAACATGGTATATTTCACATTCGTATTTTTATTTACATTTCTTTTCTTCTTTTTCATTTGTCTTCATCTAAGTCCTTAGCGGTGGCAATACATACGGAGTCTTCTTTATTAGATTTTTATAATATGGCGGAGAGTTAGCTCATGGATCACGCAATGCAAATATGGTAATAATGAAAATAAGAAAATAAAAAAACGACTTGAAAGACACTGTTGTCGGTGTTAAGACGTAGTCTATCGAAGAACTACTATCCACTACTGAAGTATAGGTTATTCAGTAAAGTAAGAATTATTAAAATTTAATAAGCCGTTTTTGAAATATCAATGAACACTTCTAAAAATCATACCGTACACAAGTACCGTGTAGGGGCGATGTAAAAATATCTATTACCCAATATCTTTACATGGATGTAGTAAGAGGCGACTAAGCAAAAATGAGACAGGAGATGGTCAGCAGTATCTTTCTGATAACAGGAATACTACATTTAAAATAAGGTTGCAAACTCGCTCGTCAAGCTTAGGAACTATGGCAAACATCCCCCTATGAGGAAGGACACAAAAACAGGCTTTCAGTTTCCGACGGTCCCACTATTTCTTGCTACGGTGGTGACCATGGTAAACTTCGGGGCAGCGCAGACATTTTGATATGAAATGGCCAGTTTTGCTGGATGGTAATTTTATAGGTAAAGACGTAATATTAATTCAGAAAAGGACTTGACTACCCAGACATCTGCTTCTATTGAGCATTATGTTGACATAATATGCAATTCGAAGTCAGTTCCAAATCGTTTAATTTAGAAAATAGAGGTATCTCCAGCAATTAAATAATAATTTAAATAAGGACCCTTTCCGAGGCTGAAAGATGACGATACCTGTGTATATCACACAACATCGTATCGATGAGGCGGATATGAAGCAGTCAGTTTGCGATGTGTTTTATGCACGCTTGACCTAAGTGCTTAACAGCCTTTTGCCCGGTGTGAATAAGATACACACATATAACGGTTGAGTCATGCCTATTCTCGTATATACCTTTAGGTGGACTCAAACTTAACTTAACGCCCTGGATAGATAGAAGTCCGCACTACTATGACGCCCCATAAGATGCATCCACCCAAGATCGTCGATTATGAGGCTGTAATTGCCGCGGAAACATGGTTGGCGTGGCTTTTAAGCGTGCTTACCATGCATAATCGCGAAGTGTGCAGCCTCCGTAATTACTTTCTGACGACAGCGGATGATCCATTTTATAAGGACGTTATTTCTTGTGATAAAGGACTAACCCTCTATACTTACTGCCAAAGAGCAATGGTAAGACCCGGCAGTACAGTGCATTTCTGACCGGGAGGCCATGTGGAAGGAGAATAGGCTCCACAGGAGGTTCTACAAGGCTCTGCATGAGCCTTTCGTAGCCAGTGGAGGGAGGCAGCTGTGTCAGCTGCCTCCCTCCACTGGCTACGATGTGGTAAGGTAAAGGAAGATTAGCTTTATTTAAACATTTGATTAATGTTTGCGATGATATTCTTTGCAAAGAGAATTGTTTTATTTTATTTGTCATCTGGGTTCTCCCAATATGGCAGTTAATGTCGTGGACATATTTTGTTAAAGTTTTGCTTAGTTATTCTGTTAGTACTATTTTTTCTTCTTTTATTGTTTCGAAGTAAATTTTATTTTTCAAAATAAATTTTTCATTTAGTAGGTCGAGATTTGTATGTTGGTAATTTTTATATCTTAAATTAACTACTTAATAAGATTTTAGAACTGGATTTCTGCTTAAACATAGAGACTTATAACAAAAGAAAATCAAATCAAGAAGCAAACCTTGATTTGATTTTCGTTTGCTACATTATATTCTAAAATTATATCGGGATCAATATTACGTCCCCCAGTTTCTCATCAGTTCTAGCCTTATATTCGTATTCTAGATATATCGCCTTCTTCTTTTTTTTGAATTTCAGTTAATTTCTTCAACTGGCTTACTGTCTCCGTTTTTTTTTCTCATTTCAACACGGCTCTCACTCCTTTGATACCTGTAAATGCTTAATGGGGTCAAAGATATTCGAAATTGGTTTTAAACATAGTAATACTTATATTCAGTCAAATGACTCCTGAGCTTCTACGAACCATATGAATTTCATATCTTTTCGTACTTAATTCTGTAACGGGTCGCGGATAATTTCACTTTGTGGAACAAAGTCAAATAATCTTTCAGAAGTTTGACTGAATTAATTTCTATTTTGTGATCTAAATATTTGGTGTAGTTATTTGTAAAAGTACATTTTGAAAATTTTTGTTTTAAGCCTTCTGTTAGAAATGCTTTTAGTAGTCTTGATATATTGTGTAAAATATGTTCATTAAAAGTTTTTGAAAAAAATAAGATCTACAAAATTTACTGCAAAACTAGAGATATTGTATTTTCTTTAGGGTTTTTGTTAATATTCTTAAAAAAGCTCTTTAGTCCAAATGGGAGACACGTCGATTAAAAATGACCTTCTTGTGTACCTTTAATATTCAAAAGGATGGACCAAAATTCTAAATTAATGAAAAAAAAATTTAAACAGGTTACAGTTCTGAGCGAGATTAAAATGGCTCTCCAGCATCTTAAAAACGGTAAGGCCCTAGGCGAGGATGGAATTACAGCGAAGCTTCTGAAAGCGGGTGGAAGACCGGTACTTGAAGTCCTTCAGAAGCTCTTTAATTCCGTCCTCCATGGTGGCATTACACCGGAGGCGTGGAGCAGAAGTGCGGTGATCTTGTTCTTCAAGAAAGGTGACAACGCTCTGTTGAAGAACTACCGACCGATTTCCCTTCTGAGCCGCGTCTACGTGCTGTTTTCGAGAGTCATTACTAATCGTCTCGCGCGCAGACTTGACGACTTCCAGCCTCCCGAACAAGCCGGTTTCCGAAAGGGCTTTAGCACCATAGACCACATACATACCCTTCGGCAAGTTGTACAGAAGCCCGAAGAGTACAATTTGCCACTATGTCTGGCGTATGTGGACTATGAGAAAGCCTTTGATTCCGTCGAAATTTGGGCGGTGCTGCAGTCCCTTCAGCGGTGCCAAGTTGACTGTCCGTATAGCGAAGTGTTGAAGTGCTTGTACAGTAGGGCTACGATGGCTATTCGAGTACAGAACCAGAGTACGAAACCTATCCAATTGCAGAGAGGTGTAAGACAGGGTGACGTCATATCCCCGAAACTCTTCACCGCTGCATTGGAAGACGTTTTCAAGCTTCTGGACTGGAAAGGATACGGTATCAACATCAAAGGCGAGTACATCACTCACCTTCGATTTGCCGACGATATAGTCCTTATGGCAGAATCGCTGGAGGGCCTAAGCACTATGCTCAATGACCTCAATAGTGTTTCCCAACGGATAGGTCTTAAGATGAACATGGACAAAACAAAGATCATGTTTAATGTCCATGTCACACCTATGCCGGTAGTTGTTGGGAGCACTAAGCTCGACGTTGTTGACGAGTATGTTTACCTAGAACAAATAGTCCGACAAGGTAAGTCCAACTTCGACCGAGAGGTCAATCGACGGATTCAACTCGGCTGGGCAGCTCAAAACCTTAAAACGAAATTGTACAACCAGTGCGTGTTGCCAGTGATGACTTACGGAACTTAGACGTGGTCCTTCACTGCTGGCCGTATGAGGAAGCTCCAGCTCTGTACATCTGTATGGACGTTTGTAACATTATTTATCCAGGATCAAGTCAAATATGAGCTTCATGATTTCGTACAGTAGCGAAGTCATATTTTTCCTTAGCGAAGGCTGATTTGTATTTTTCTATCACTTATCAATTTCTGTTTGTTCATATAAATCTAGATGGTATATTATTATGCAATATTTTAAATCCATCCAAGCTTTACATATTCATTGAAATTTATTCCACATTTTTAATGTGTTAAGTTTCTTGTTTTAATATCTCAGACCGTAAAAAATATTTTTCATTTTTGTCACCTAGTACATTAGGAATTTCGACATATTTTAAATTTAAAGTATTAGCTTTGGGTAGTTTTTGTTTTTCGTATCTTCTACATTTCAGGTCGTTTTTAATTGTTTCACTGTGAGATCTTCAATTTTTTTTTTATAGAATAAGGGTGAAAAACGAGCACACAGTCCACCTGATGGTAAGTGGTTTCTTCGGCCCATAGACATCTACACCTATCTTCGTTTGCGAATTAAAATGCAGATGCGTTGTCAACCGTGAGGACTAAGATGGAATGCCTCTTTTCCAGTAAAAAAGGTCTCCGGTTCTCTACACTCACCATACGAAACACAGCAGCATTAAGCTTCTATTTTACGCTGGTATTCTGTGAGAGCGTGGTCCTTCCCCGGTCGAGCCGACTCATTCGTGCTACAACTATACTATTAATATAGCTGCAGCATGGATCTACCACGTTAAAAATGTTAATTATGTATTAGTTTGAAATTTTTGATAAAATCCAAACTAAATAGAAAATTTTAATTGAAATTTTCATTACCTGTGTGAACCTAGTAGCGGGATACAACAAGGATGCCGTGCTACGCCAGAGCCAAGACTCCCCTAACGGCGGTCATTCCGTCTGTTTTATACAAGTAAAACAAGTTGGCAGTCGCCGCTACAGGATCAAAGACGTAGGCAGCGCTACAGTTGCCTACAGTCCTTGCAAAAAACACGTGCAACGGCACACTTGCACGTATTGTTTGCAAGGAGTCCCGTTAGGCACCTGCGACCGTGCAGGTGTTTTTTCATGTTACTTGGTTAAGTAATAGTAGGTAAACTTTTGAAAATCAACATCCTAGATCACATATTTAGGTACTGTAATAATAAATTTCTAAATATTTTCAGTGCTTTTTCTAATGTTATTCTAAATAACTTTGCTAATGATTGCAGTGACAAATCCAATAATTAATTAAGTGATGGTTAAAAATATTTTATCATGTAGTATTGACGCCTAGTCTTAAAAAAAGTGTACTAAAATTTCAAAATGGTGCAACACTTGCTACTTATCTTTGTATGAAAAAAAACATAAAAAGGAAAGCGTTCCTGTAGCCCTATAAATAACCGGTGAAGGTTGAATATCATGGAATTATATTTGATGCAAATCCGGCATAACGCGGTCGGTTAAAATGATTTTAATTACCTCTCTCTCTTTTGTGACTCTTTCAGATCGTAAAGCAACGTCAGAAGTCGTATAATTCAACTCTAATTAAGACCTCAGGTTTGTCAAACACCAAAATTTATATTTTATGTAGCTTTTTTTAATTTTATTTTAATATATTTTTCTCTTGCAGGCAAAAACCTAAGGTCATTTAGTGATGTGTTTTACAGTCTGGAAAGTTCGGATGGCGAAAGTGCTTTCTCAAATAAGGACGTACAAGACCACCTTAATACCTTGATTGTGGCTGGTTATGACACAGTTGCAACAAGTCTTGTAATTACACTTCTCTTAATCGGCTCGTATAAGGAAGTTCAAGATAAAATCTACAATGAGTATGTATAAGATAGTGTCACACAAATTTTAAAGCTTAGTTTGTTTTATTTAGAAATTTATTAGACACAAAAGCAAATGACTCTTTTCCTCAAAATACGTCACGTTATGTCACATAATAACTATACCAATTACGTTTCTAGTTTCTATTCTCTTCTCAAACTCTAGTTTCTTCTTTTTTTAACCAATTATTTTATTTGAAATATTACTCCTAAAATGATCAACTGCTTCATAAACATACAAATTAAATAGCATTTGTAACGTCAACCTTATCCCACAGCCTTCTTATTCTGAAGTCCGTTGTGTAAGGATCGCCAAGTGCATTACCCCATCTAACTACATGTGAGGAAAGGTTTTAGTAGTTTACCTTAACCCACATACACAACCCATTGGCAAATTTGTACACAAAACTGAAGAGTTTAATCCATTATTTTTTCTTGCGTATGTAGACCATGAGAAAGCATTTCACTTCGTCGAAAATTTGGCGGTGCTACATTCTTATTAGCGATGCCACTTTGTGCTTAGCTGAAATGTTTGTACAGTGGCTATCTAATAATGTCTATATTGCAAAATCAGCTCAACACTACGCTTAATTACGTTTAGCACTCTTATCTCTGGCACCGATGCAGTTTTTTATTGGTGTCACTTCTCCAACTAATTGCCAGATTTTAATAAATATTCGTTTATTCCGGATCATGATTCATATGGGTTACTAAAAAAAAAATTAAACTATGTTAGTTACACAATTAACTAATTATAATTCGATTAATTCATATACATACTCTATAATTACTCTATAATTAATAGAATCAGGCATTAATTTGCAGAAAACCATTATATAAAAGTTTCATTTTTTTACTTTGCCTATATTAACTCAATAAAATAAAATAATGTCTCTTACCTATTTTAACACCAATACTCCCACCAGCACTACACTAGCAAAGACACACGACACGTGTTTTGCCTCTACACGAGGAATCTTTAGGTGTAGTAGACTCTGCGGTGTCTGACCGCTAAGTCACCGTTAAGTTAAAGAAAATTTTTGGTAACTTTCATATTCCTCTGCCCACTTCCCACTGCACCCGACCCGCAGCAGTGCATGCTGCGAATTGTGATCAAGTGCTGCTGGAACGGGAAGTCTGGTTTCTCCACAATAACACGCAGATCGCTTTTGGTGCTCCCCCGAAGCCTGTGCATCAGGAATGCTCTTTCTTTCTCAGAATAGCTTGAAAGCTGTCCGTTTCTGATTCAGCAAACATGCCTGCTGCACTACAGAATTATTGAAGCCCATACGGCACCCTAAATGCATTATTATATTGCATACGAAGAACATTATAGGCCCGCTGCATATGTCTAACAAACAGGCTGCACGTGTAGAATGACTGGCAAAACGCCTTGAAAAGACTTCACTTCTCTCGCATAACGAGCAAACCTTCGAGCCAGCATGTTGCACTGGACCGACAACGCTCTTTATTCCCTCTCTATATCATCATCATCTAAATATTAATTAACTATGTGTTAAATGCACTTAAATTTGGGCTCTCTCTTGAGTGCTATACCATAAAGTCATACCGCAGGAACTGTATTACGTTTTTTAATACCTACTTAAAACACCATAACCTCACTCATCTTTATATTATAAAAGAGGTCATGAGACATACTGCAAGCAGATGTATCATCAAACAATGAACTCAGCACTACCATAACATCTGCATAACTTATGCTAATCATTATATTGCCGTCAATGCAGCATCCGATACCGGTGCTGCTAAGTTCCTCGATCATCTGATTGATGTGTAGACTAAAGAGTGCCGGAGAAGTCAGATCACCCAGTCTCACTCCACACTCCAGTCCATACGTCTCAGACAATGCACCCGATTATCTGAAATGATTAATTTGATGATCGTACCAGAACTGAAATAGTTTGACCAGCTCCTTAGGTACACAAAAATAAAGTAAATTAATCAACCATAATTAAAACAAAATCTTATAATTAACCAGGTCAAATGTCTTAGATAGATCTAAAAATGCAGCATACACCTATTCTATTCGACTATCGCTATTCATATCGGTGTAGTAAATGACAGTGTGCTTGAGCATCGAAATAGCAGTTTCAGTAGGCAGCTCAACTTTAAAACCGAATTTAGCATCTTTTAAATTGATCTGTTTGGTCACTCTACGCTCAATCACACCGTCAAGAACTTTAGCTGTTACAGTAGCCAAGGAGATTGGCCGATAATTGTCTCTTTCTGAAATTTCATCGGTCTTATTCTTAACTATAGGTTAAGCTACTACTATCGTTTTCATCTGTTCAATAGACAGATAAGAATGGCTTACACACAAATTAAACAGCATTGAAATTATCCCCCGGAGATGCGGACACGCATGTAAAAAATATTTTATGCTTTTTCATGACCCGGAGATTTGCCCCAGGTCATAGACGTTATAATGCTCTGTATTTCTTTTGCGGTGATGCTAATCGGGTCATCGCTCATTACACTCTCGCCTCACAATCTCTCCCACCCAGATGAAATTGCGAGATTACTCTAATATGCCTCATAAACTATACACAATCTCCCCAGGCTTAGTAAAAACATTAATGCTCACCGGGGCCACAGGTTTCGGGCTCAATCACTAAGTAGACTTCCAAAATTTCAGAAAATATTTGTTAATATAGTCAGTTGCCAAAATATTCATCTTCATTTGTTCCTCATTGTCCTGGCAAAAATTCAACTGTTGCTTGAAAATTTTACGTGTCTGTCATTTCTACAAACAGCTGCCCAGAGTGAGGTTTAGCATACTACACCCAGTTCAGAGAAACCCTCCTAGCGTTCCCGTGAGCGTCTCTGACATACTTATTCCACGCAATCACTACACGTTGACCCCTATTATCTCCCACTATTCCTGAACTGCCCTGTGTCGCTTCCTAAAATGAAGTCTCAATGTCATTGTACATAGTATTAATAATCTTTATATATAAAAATTACGTGTTACGTTGTTTGTCCGCGATGAACTCCTAATTTACTGAACTGATTTCAATGAAATTTTGCACACTTATAGATATATAATAATTTTGCACATACGTGGTAGAGTCATGCTGCAGCTATATTATGGTTGTAGCACGAATGGGTCGGCTCGACCGGGGAAGGACCACGCTCTCACAGAATACCAGCGTAAAATAGAAGCTTAACGCTGCTGTGTTTCGTATGGTGAGTGTAGAGAACCGGAGACTCTTTTTACTGGAAACGAGGCATTCCATCTTGGTCCTCACGGGTGGCAACGCATCTGCATTTTGATTCGTCATCGAAGATAGATGTAAATGTCTATGGGGCACAGCAACCACTTACCATCGGGTGGACTGTGTCGAGCACACAGTTGTTGCCCTTATCCTATAAAAAAAAACACTGTGTGCAGTTTGGTCCAACTTGAGAGATAGGATAGTTTTTATCCCGATAAGTGACCCTTAACATTTTTATTAGAAATTTAAGGATTTTTTATTGGAGAAAGGGTCATCTCAGGAAAGGGCAGAACAACGTTTGCCTGGTCAGCTAGTAATATTATAATACTTAGCACATATAATCTACGAAGTGTAAACGGTGCAAAGATTTATTTGTGTTAGCCTTTTTCGTCATGTCTATGACTCTGATGCAATTAGTTTATTTTATATATTTTTCTTAAACTAACTCTCCTATTTCGATGAAACTTAGCGCAGATAATTTTCGTAGTGTGAACACTTATTTTATAGCTACCTTTATTCGCCTAAAAATCGACACACATATTAGCATTTAAAAAAGACATAAGCCTCACCAAATATAGATTGTATAACCCCTGGTATATTTTTGACCGTTGAGACTTTTGTATTGACTACCTGAAAAATATGGGTCCTGCTAATATTTTCTTGTTGTTCTAACTTGTATTTATTTTCTGACGTTTCTTTATAGGTTCCGCTCCGTTTTGTTAACGTTGTTTTTATATCTTCCTTATAACATTTTATGAAAAGTTAATTATAAAAAGTATTAATTTTAAAATAAATAATTATTCATTTTATATTACCCAATACTTTAGCTTTTCGTTAAATATAATATGTTAAATATTAATTACGTAATAAATTTTATTATAATAATTAACTAACACTTACATTTTTTCCGCAACTTGGACATTCTTAGACTTATTACTGGTTTTTGTATGCAATTTAACATAATCTAAAAATAATGTTTTAAATATTATTTTTGCAATTGATGAAATCAACTTTACCTCTACTTTAGCGCCGAATAATTTTGCAGTACTTTCAATTGCAGCTCTTCACAAGTCCAGTGCTGAACATAGGCCTCCCCATGACCTTGAGCTTCCTAGTACGACCAGCAATGAAGAAACACGTCTCAGATCCATAGGTCATCACTGGCACGCACTGGTTGTGCTGTATAGTTTTTAAGTTTTGCGGTTTAACTGACGAGAAGATGTGTCGCGATCTCCCGAACGCTGCCCAGCCGACTTGAATCCGTCGATTGACCCATCGGTCCAAGTTGGACTTAGCTTGTCGGACTAGAGGTCCCACTACTTTTTTCCCATTACTTGTCAACAATTTGGAGCTCAGTGCTTCTAAAAATTACTGGCATAGATGTGACTTGGACGTTACACATGACCTTCGTTTTGTCCATGTTCATCTTAACCCTTTCGCTGTCCCGTGCACTACATATAGGACACTGCTATTGTCTTACTATTGTGTCTTTAAACCAGACAGTGAAAGTGTTAAAACCTATCTGTTGGGAGACATTACTGAGGTCATTGGGCATAGTCCATAGATCCTCCAGAGATTCTGCTGACTATATCATCATAATGTGCTCGCCATTGATATTAGTACCGTATCCTTTCCAATCCAGTAGCTTGTAAACGTCTTTTAATGTAACGGTGAAGAATTCCAGGGATATAACGACACCCTGTCTTACAATTCTCTGCAATTGGACATATTTTGTGCTCTTGTTTTGTGCTCGGATAGCCATTGTAGCTCTACTGTGCAAGCATTTCAGTATTTCGAAGTACCAACTGTCAACTTAAAACTGCTGAAGAGACTGCAGCACCATCCGAATTTCGAGGAATCAAAGCCTTTCTCATAGTCCACATATGCAAGGCAAAAAGGCAAATTGTACTCTTCGAACTTCTGTACAATTTGCCGAATGATATGTATGTGGTCTGTTGTGCTAAAGCCTTTTGAGAAACTGGCTTATTTGGGAGGCTGGAAGTCATCAAGTGTGAGTGCGAGACGATTCGTAATGACTCTCGAAAAGACCAAGTAGACTCGACTCAGAAGAGAAATCGGTCTATAGCCCTTCAAGAGATCTTCGTTGCTTTTCTAGAAGAAAAAGTCCACCGCACTTCTGCTCCACACCTCCGGTGTAGTGCCACTATGAAGGATGGCAGCAAGAAAGCAGAAAATAGTTTCTAAAGGACTTCAAGTACCGGTTTTACACCCGCTTTGAAAAGCTTTGTTGTAATTCCGTCCTTGCCCGGGAACTTGCCGTTTTTAAAGTGATGGAGAGCCATTCTAAACTCGCTCAAACTTATCTCCGGGATATCATCGTAATAGTATCAAATAAGAGTTGCTTTGGGATCGTTACCTACACTTGCTTGTTGCTCCGACGATGACGTATACAGCTGCCCATAGAACCTCTCAATCTCACTCAAAATCTCAGGAGTCCTGGAAACAATGCTGCTACATTCGGTCTTCGCAGCTTTGACAGTTAGCTCTTTCTGACAGACAGATCTCTGGCAAAAAATTTTGTAGCCCTGGTTCCACTCGATTGCTTCTTCAATACGAGTTGTATTGAAATTGCGTAAGTCCCGCCGCAGATTCAATTATCTGTTCAATTCTCTGTATGATCTCATATCTATAGAAGACCGAAGCTTCATTTTCCGTCTAACAGCCATAAGATAATGAGTGTGATCGGAGAGTTTTTGGGTTCTTCTGTGACGGGTCTTACAGACCTTAGCTCCGACCGCATGGACAGTTTCCACGAGCTTTTTATTCATATCGTCCACGGTATTGCAGTTTTCTCGTCACTAAAAATGATTTTATTATTGGAGCAGCAAGGTTTTGGAACTTTGAAAGGAGCACGATCGATCATAGAACAAGTTGCCGGATTCTAGGATTATCGTGTCTGTCTACCTTCTCTCGTCGGACCTCAGATAATCCTATAATATCCCAGCGCAACTTATCTATCTCTTCCTCCAGCTCCAGAATCTTCTCGTCAGTCCTCAGGGTGCGTGCGTTATATGTTGCCTGATCGAGTTGTCTTAGGTGGTAACTGAACCTCAACCGGAGATTATTAGCACACCACTATTACCACCACACACATTATTGGTCGCCACCGTACCTAGGAATAGCGGGGCCGCCGGGGACTGGTGGCCGCCTTTTTGTAACTCTCGACGTAGTTGCCTCGCTTGGAAAGCGAGTTTGCAATCATAGTTTTTTTATTGTTATTTTGCTGTTATCAGAAATATGCTGCTGCCCGTCTTCTGTCTCAGTTTCCCACTGTCACCACTTACGATAGAATGGGAAGATATATGGTATTGGATATTCGTAACTGCCACTACACGAGCTAGCTACTATTAAGTGACGGTTAATATTAAACTAGTACATTATGTTTTTAATGTTTCTTATGATTTTATCTGCTTTTTTATATTTTATACATTTAAAGACTGAAAAGTAACAAGAAGTTTTTATTTGTATTAAGGCTTGAAGAAGTTTTTGGCCAGTCCGACAGGGATGTTGAGAAGCAAGACTTACCACGTCTTGCATACATGGAGGCAGTTATAAAGGAATCTTTGAGGTTATACCCAATTGCTCCTGTTATAGCCCGACTTCTCGATAAGGACTTAAAAATAAGTAGGTCTTTATTTTATACATTATATTTATCTCTTATGCTCCTTAAAAACAAAACATTTATGCAAAATTTAAAGCAATTCTTAAAGTTTGTAGTAAAAATAAAGTAAGTTTATTAACAGCTTATAAACTCCTCGTTGCACTTTGACCTCCTTTAATTATGTAGAGGGTTTTCGAGCACGGAAAGCGCTTCGGCTATCACTATGACGTGCTCTTGAAATATGTTGGTTTTTAGATATGCAGGTTACATCGCCATGAATTCCTTCACTGCTGAGCATCTGATAAATCAACAGTCAAAACTGATATATGAATTTTACTAGCAGGGATGACGTTCGGGTTGCTCAAACGTAGTAAAAGTTTTAAGGCAAGCGTCCAGTTGCTCAACTATCATAGTTCAATATAATATGTAAACAATACCAAATATTAATTATAAATATAATATATTTATAATATAATTATACTGCGAACCTATCATAATCATCATTAAGTGTGATGATGATGATGATGATAATGAGAGTAAAATATAAAAATCTCTTTTGTTTTCTTACAGAAAATTACACTTTATGTTCTGGAAAAATTTGTTTCTTATCCATCTATGGTGCACACCGACATCCTGTATGGGGTGAAGATGCGAATGATTTTAAGCCGGAGAGGTGGTTGAACCCCGAAACCTTACCAAAGAATTCAAATTCTTTTATGCCTTTTAGCCTGGGAAGAAGAAATTGTATAGGTATAAATACTAACATCCTAATATATTAAAATTACATATTTCCTATAAAAGTTGGCATGATAAATATACACGTACTTATGTATCCGACTGAAAGAGTGTTTACGTATATAAAATAGCTTTTTATAAGTTGTTTAATTGTGCTTGTCTGTGCAAGTTTACGTAAACATGTGTCAGGAAACTTTTTGAAGTAAATGTAATAACATTTTTTCAGGTAAAACTTACGCAACAATGTGGTTGAAGACACTTATTTCACATTTTATTCGTAAATACCAAGTAACTGGCGATCACAAAAATTTATTGCTAAAGTACGATTTCCTGCTTAAACCTTATTCGGGTTATTATATTGCTATTGAAAAAAGAAAATGAACCTGGAATTTGGAACGAGTAATCAATGGTAATACGTTAGTTAAAATATAATATATTTGCTTTGCTTAATATCGTTACGTTAGTTAAATCGAAAGAATTCTTTGAAGTAACACGTAACCCAGAAAAAATGTCTCGTTCTTAAAATACGGCTATATAATTATGAGTTTTACAGTAATATGTTTGCAATAACTAATAAAGAAATAACAATCCTATAGTAGTTTTATTTGCCGGAAGACATCAAATTTGCATTTAGAATTATACATACCCGTAAGTGGATACATTACTATTGCAAATTATTTATTCTAAATTGGCAGTAAATGTTGATTGGATAACGCATATTCTGCGATTATCATTGTGCGATATACAATAACAATAACTGCAACGAAATTTATTTTGTAACAAAATTTTAATTAATTTGGTTATATCGTTCGATCGAGCACCAAACGCCGGAATACGACGTACGTTAATTACGACAGTGCAATATTTCTACGTTATTATGATATTGCTTTGACAATTTAATCGAGCGTACCAAATAAGCGAGCTGGCAACGTCGCAATATGCGTAAGCCAAATACGCGTCTCTGTCGTCGTAGGAAACATAAAATCAGCAAAATATACAACTGTAGATATACGCGCTGCAGAAGCGCCACTCTATTGTTGCGGAACCTTCAGTAACTTTAGATTATACAAATGTCTTATCTTCGAAATATTTTTCCTTATTTATCAGACATGGAGATTTCCGCTCGATGTTCACAACCGAACACGTGGTAAATCAGCACTTAAAATTGCAATAAACGTCAACGCAACGTCATCATTGATGCCAGCGCAGCGGGGATCGAACTCGGGTTGCTCGCGTACTGTGAAATTCACAGCGAGCGCTTAGCCCCTGACGGATTATATTATTATTAGGAATATACGGATGCCATATAATAACAGGTATGGGCTTTCTGAAGAGTAAATAATAAATTTCAATTTAAATTTCAAACTATTTATTTTGTTCGCGCCAAGCGCTAGTTTCAAGGATTGACACGAGAGGGCGCTCGGCGCGGTGCATTCATACCGGTTTGACTTTCGGTGGTGCAAAAACGCACAAGGGCAGGCAGTCGCCTGTCAGCTGTGCTTGGAACGGCACGCTGTCATTTTTGTCGGGAACTCGGAATAATTATTTATAATTATATTTATATTTAAAATTATAATCGGCCAGTAAATATACGGTCTACCATTGTGACGCGCATTCCTGCTGGAGAGCTTCCCAGGGACTCATTGTGTCTGACTCAGAATCTGCATAAGTGCATTCGGCAATTAGCTAGTGCGGCCTCTGATATTTTAGAACTAACTGTTGCTACGCGAAACGGTTGTGACCTATGATCCAGAAACTCCGTGTGCGTTTTGTGCGTTAACCTTGTACCCAGCGATAGTTAGTGGCTTCTGTAATTTAGTTAATCGTACGATAGAGTTAATTGACTGTCATCGTGACGAAAGAGGAAAGTGACTGTGGACAACCTCGGAAGGCCCCCTCAAGTTGGAGCGGTGTCGACGCTCGGGCTGCTGCCGACGGCCAAGGTCTAGGTTCAATCACCATCAGTCACACCCAGATACACATCACATCACTTTATTTTCCTTGCACTACACAACCACATGCGACCTGACCGACTCCGGAGGGACCAGTCGCCTTGGATATAGGTAAGTAAGCTACGTCCAAATTCCTCCCGGTCGACTGGCCGTATTATAGAACGCTCTCCCATATATTTTAGTGTAATTAGAGAGATTCTACGTGGGCACATTGAGGCACGACCTACGTCTGCTCGGGAAGTCTTCAGCTCATGGGCCCCTGAGGATTTGACCATTTAAGGGAGCAGCCGTAGGCCGTAACATATTTCACCATGCATACATTTATTTTATTACATTAAAATAACGCACCAAGCGAAACGCATAAGTATACTTCTACTTCACGCTGGTATTCTGTGAGGTGGTACCACGTGGTACCACCCTGGTTCGAGCTGGGCCCTTCATGTGACAAAAAAGCTGCCGCATGGATCTACCACTGCCAAAATGTAAACATGGAATAAATTCTATTTACTTTTTTTACCCCATCATAAATAAACAATCGATACACAAGAATATATTATATTCTTCGTTATTAGACAAGTCCAGTCTTAACGAATAAACCAAACACAATAACTGCCAGAGGTAAGGTCTCATCATAACTAACAAAACGAGCCCAAACTTGGCACACCTAGTTCTACTCGTCCAAGAGTTCCAATAGTAGTCACAGAGATAGCACAACATCAGGTATCTCCATTAAGCCCGGAGGTTAGTTCTTATAATAAATAAAAAACGAGCCCAAATTCGGCACACCTAGTTCTACTCGTCCAGGAGTTCTAGTGGTAGTCACCTAAGTACACCATCAGGTCTCTCCATCAATTCTGGAGGTAAGGTCTCATCATAACTAACATAACGAGCCCTAACTCGGCACCCCTATTACTACTCGTCGGAAAGTTCCAGTAGCAGTCACCGAAGTATATCTTCAAGTCACCACCAAGACAGGATATAAGGTCTTATCATAACTAACAAAACCAGCCCAAAGTCCACAGCCAACATCTCACTGCTAGCAGAGGGCTACTAGTTAGGGATGTCCGATCTAGATCGATTTTCTGTAAGATCGATTCACGGCCATACGATCTACCGATTTTTGAATCGATTCAAGGAAATGCGATCTTCACCCAGATCGAATCGTATGCCTATAAGATCGTATGAAAAAATCATATCAACTAAAACCTAAACATCAACTGAACTGTAATGCACTAACGTAAGGACCGATCTTTGCATACCTATCGTATTGCCGGGGAGGGGACAGAATAACTAAAAAGATTACCTACCTACACATTGAATGAGAGTAGCTTCGAGTTACATCAAAAGCGGTAATGTATGAAACATGAAGGTAGGTATGATAATATATTGTTTATTTTATTATCGGGTACTACTAGTTAGGGATGTCCGATCTAGATCGATTTTCTGTAAGATCGATTCACGGCCATACGATCTACCGATTTTTGAATCGATTCAAGGAAATGCGATCTTCACCCAGATCGAATCGTATGCCTATAAGATCGTATGAAAAAATCATATCAACTAAAACCTAAACATCAACTGAACTGTAATGCACTAACGTAAGGACCGATCTTTGCATACCTATCGTATTGCCGGGGAGGGGACAGAATAACTAAAAAGATTACCTACCTACACATTGAATGAGAGTAGCTTCGAGTTACATCAAAAGCGGTAATGTATGAAACATGAAGGTAGGTATGATAATATATTGTTTATTTTATTATCGGGTACCTATGCTAGTGTTCTATGATCTTTCATTCTTTGTATTATGGCGATACGAAAAGTTGAGGTGATGTATGAGCGTAAACTATTATTTTAAAATACTTTTAAATATGACCCCGCCAACCAAATCAAACGTTTGGGCTTTTTTATTAATTTTGACATGGGTGAACAATGTAAAATGTGTAAACAGATGGTTAAAACTAGTGAAAATACTACCAATTTAAAAAATCATCTCAGACGTCATCACATTCACTTATTCTGAGCTAAGCAAAAGTGAAGAAAGTTGTACTACAGCAATTGCCGAAATAATAAGTATCCATCTTCTGTACAAATAAATAAAATATATATCAAAGTATATACGGTGCTAGTATCAAAAAGCAAATTTTAAATTTTTTGTCTGTCTCTCTGTCTAACCGTATGTATACTGCCTGTATGTCTATCTGTTGTCCTGGCTAATCTCAAACAAGGCTGGGCTGATTTTGACGAGACTTTCACTGTCAGATTGCCGATGTTACAGGGAATTACTTACGCTACTTTTATTTTAGAAAAAATTATGTAATAGACTAGATCCAGTGCCAGTCACACTTATTATTTTTTTAAGAGTTTAAATATAGATAGATGGAATTTATAACGTAAAACCGGTTATATACTTTTCAAAAATAGTAATTTGGAAAAACTCACTGAATACTGTAATAGGCATTGTTAAATTTAATAAATTTGCATGCATACTGTGCTTTACGATGCGATTTTCCGAGATCGAATAAGATCGATTCAATGCAATATGGTTAAATCGTGAATTGATTCACGAGGCTACGATCCATTACGATCCAGTAGATCGATTTAAACCAAAAAATTGGACATCCCTACTTCTACTGCCTAGTAGTCTCTGGAGTAGCTATTCGTATTTCATATCTAAGTATATTTTTGTAGTAAAAAAATTCAATCTTTCAAATTATCAATATGTTTTTACTTGATAACGATTTCCGCAGCAAACCGTGCCAACACTTGTCAATGTAATAGTTCGATTCTATACCTATCAATTTTGCAAACGCGTCCTTAATTCTAGTGACTAGCGACTAATAAGTACGAGTAAGTCAGGTTGCAATGTTATTATTACTATGTATCTTTGATAGATAGTCAAATTTAGGGAATGTCGAAAGGAGTTTTTAAAAACTAAAATACAATTAGATTACTACGTCTCACCGATTTGGAGGTGGCTTTAACAATGAATGATATTCAAAGAGTCCGTTTGTGCGCAGACATTCGACACATCAAGTAAGTACTATGAACTTACATAGAAATGCTGATGAATTAGTTTTATCGCTAAGTCTAAATAATACAATATTATATATTTTAGTATTTTAGTCTAAAACAGAGGGACGGGGTGTATCAATAACTCCTCCCTCCCTAAGAACAAAATTATTGGTAATATAATTTTTAATGTTTTTACGATAATTTTGGATGTAAGGCATACATTTTTTCTTAACACGTATATTCTTAAAGAACAATAAGAAACTCAACGCTAGGAAATTTAAAATTACATTAATGTTAGAACACTGAAGTTAGAGTCTTTTTCTCCGTTGAGAGTACTTAGATCTGTGTAATAGATTTCACTGTGTTTTTGTTTATTTCACTTCGTCCAAGTTGACACCATTCATGTTAATTACGCGTGTACTTGTTACATTAAATTTGAACGTAAATGAGGTAAGTTGATGACTGAAACTGTACTCGTATGTACTCTACATGGGTTTTAATACTGATAAATTCACGAGGGTATGGTTCATTTACTTCAATTAGTCTACTAGGCTGATGATATTGAGCAATGATTAAATTTAGATGGTCATAAATATTTTCTTAATTTAAAGTCTTTATTATATTCCAGTGAATTGTTTAGGTATATGCTTGTCCTTGTTTTACCGGAAGTATCCCTGGGTTTTCCTCAAGTGACTGCAGATGATGGGCCAGGATCGGCTTCGCAATGTGGTGGTGGTGGTGTATACTGATTCGCAATCATCAGTATACACCACCTGTGGAGGGCGTTTAATATTTTTAATTGTAGCTTTGGTCTTCCTTTCACGTATTTGTATTGGCAATATATTTCTTTCGGCCTTGCCTACTACCTTAGCCTTAACATACCGCGGTTTTTTCTTGCTCTTTCTTTTGTTTGTATCCTTAGCAAATATAATGTTACCACACTGAAATACTATCTCATCTTCACCGCCTTGCTTTTTCCTCATCTTTTCTTTAATTGCTACCATATTTTCTGCTAAATATTTGTATAAGAATTTTGTTTGCTGTGCATGGCCTTTTACTAAGTGTTGTAAATACTGCTTATCAAATTCTGTGCTAAATAGAATAGAATAGAATAATTTTTATTCAATATACATTACACGTGTAATTCTTATTGAAAGTAATATTTTACTTTACCACTGGTTCGAAAAAAAAAACCCTCTGTCCTGGGAAGAACCAGCAAGAAACCCAGCGGGACTTTTTTTTTAAATAAATTTTACAATATACAATATTTACGAACTATTTACAAAATTTATTTTAGAAACCGCTTGGAAGCGACCACCAATCTGTAAATTTCTATGATTGTCGAATTCGGAAGCGTTTTATAAGCCCCATCGAATTTGGGCTATTTGGGGTTTCAATGTGCTGCTCAATTTTATGCTTTTTTTATAGGAGAGGGGGCAATCGAGCATGCGGCTCACCTGATGGTAAGTGAATACCGCCGCCCATGAAAACATTCAACACCAGGGGAATTGCAGATGCGTTGCTGGCCTTTTAAAAAGGAGTAGGCTCTTTTCTTAAAGGTCCCTAAGTCGTATTGGTCCGGAAAAATCGCTGGTGGTAATCGATTCCACAAGGAAGTTGTACGAAGGAGAAAACTTCTTCTAAATCGCACAGTGGTGGACCGCCAATCATCCAGATGGTACGGATGGTATCGCAAGTAATGTCGCGATGTGCGAGGGTGAAATTGAGCGGCTGGAATTAGTCCGAACAATTCCTCAGAGCACTCCCCGTGATAGATGCGATAAAATACGCAAAGAGATGCAACATCTCTACGTAGTGCCAGTGAGTCAAGCTTATCGAAAAGGACTCGGTCGTCGACGATTCGAACCGCTCTGAGCTGGATGCGGTCAAGTGGAAGGAGTTGGCACTGGGGAGCCTCCACCCAGAGATGGGAACACTATTCCATGTGAGGCCGAACCTGCGCCTTGTAAAGATGCAAGCGGTGTGCCGGCACGAAATACTAATTATAAAATATAAGCTTAAGAATTGTTTAATTAATACATTATTAAATTCAGAGCTTGTATCTGAACTTTTCTTTTTTGGTATCCCGTAAAAAGAAAAGTACTTCATTAAAGCTCGGACTATTTCGGGGGTGGATCTTTTTGAAGTTTCTATTGCTTGGCCTAATTCGCTAAACGTATCTATAAGAGTCAGATAATGTTTTCCTTCAATGTTAAACAGGTCTATAAATATCTCTTGAAACAGAGCATCTTGAGTCTAGGTTAATTGAAGAAAAGGTTTAATTGGCTTTCATTTTTTGACATGCAGTGCAACTTTTTATTATTGCCGAAACAGTTTCTTGTAAATTATCCCAATAGTAATTTCTGCAGATTCTAACTAGCGTCTCTTTTATGCCCCGGTGACATGTCTTTCCTTCGTGATACTTATGTAATTAAGTTTGGCACTTTGTTCTTTTTCGTCTTCAACAAAAATTACTCGTTCCGTGCATTCATATAATTGAACCAAGTCCTTTTTGAAAAGGTGTATAATAATATTACTAAATTGCCCTCGACATTCTGTTCGTACAAAAAATATAAAATATTTAATTTTAGGCCTAATATATTTCTTTAGAAATTTTTTAATTAATTCGGAGTTATCTAATGGTAAAAATACTTCTTATACTTTTTGTTTCTTTCTATAATTATCTTTAACCTGAGGTTCATTTTTAAACCATGAAAATATTAATTATTGATTTGGCTTTGTATCGATAGCCTCGTGTAGTATTAGTATTCCGTTTGACTCTAATTCTACGACTGAATGCACAGTTTTGGACTTACTAGATTCTGAAGGTAATCGAATTGGATATTCGCAAACCTGTTCTGAACTACAAATTAATATTGTGTCGAAAAGAGACATAGGGCTTGCGCAAATAGTACTTGAGTCTGATATTGTCACATTGGACGTCGTGTCATTGTCTTTAATTTTGAGTATTTAGTTTTTCAATTTCCTTAACTACGTCTTTCAGATGCTCCCTAAGCTTATAATCTTTGCTGTCGAAATTAACGTCCATCGAATGGACGAGGACTTTAATTCTGGATAGGGCATCAGCATTTGTATTTTGTTTTCCCTTTTTATAAACGATTTCAAAATCGTACTCCTGTAGTCGTAATAGCCATCTGGTAAGCTTACTGTTTGGTTTCTTTAATGAATAAAGCCAAACTGAGGGTCGGTGGTCAGTATAAATTACAAATTTTTGTCCATAAAAGTACGATCGGAAATGTTTTACAGCCCAAATAACGACTAAAAGTTCGCGTTCGATGGTGCTGTGTCTACTTTCAGTGTCACTAAGTGTCGTACTAGCGTATGCAACATGTCTATCACTACCAATAGGTCCCTGTGTAGAACTGCTCCTAAAGCTATATTAGAGGCGTCAGTCGTCAAAATTAAGGTTTTATCGAAGTCCAGGTACTGTAGTAAGGGTACACTCGTTAGTATTTCCTTACATTTTTCAAACGCATTAATATATTTTTCATCGATGATAATTTTATTTCGCTTTTTAAGGCATGCATTTAGAGTTTGTGTGATCTTAGCAAAGTCCTTTATGAAGTGTCGATAATACCCTACCAGTCCTAAGAAACTTTTAATTTCCGTTGTTGTCTTAGGTATAAGAAAATTTAACACCGCTTTTATTTTGTCTGTGTTCGATCGTAGCCCTTCTTTTTTAACATACCATTACATGGTATGTTATAAAACCTCCTCCCTTAAAAATTCTGACTTGTCTAATTGAACTTTTAGATTAGTCGTCCTAATTCTCTCAAATATTTATATCTCAAATTTAATTTCGCCAGATGCATCCATTTTTTTGGGTACAAGGTGTACAGGAGCATTCCATGAAATAGAAACAGAAACAGAAACTTTTTTATTCAATATAGATTATAAATAATACTTATTGAAAGTCACTCTTTTGTTTGATTACCACTGGTTCGGAAAAAACCTCTGTCCTGGAAGAACCAGCAAGAAGCCCAGCGGAACTTTTTTTTAAAATAACAGCTTACAATCATGATGTTACACAAATTAACAACACAACAAATTAGAACTAGCTTGGTAGCGATCACCTCATTTCTAGGGGTTATTATCATCCATAAATTCCTTAATATTATAATAACCCTTTTTATACAAACTAAGTTTAATAAAGTTTTTGAACTTTGAGCAGGTCAAACCTTGCATATTTTCTGGAATTTTGTTGTAAAAGCGTATACATCGACCCAAGAATGAATTACTGACTCGATGGAGTCGAGTAACTGGTACTACTAGCTTGTATCTGTTCCAAGTATTTACACAATGAATATCACTTATTTTTGTAAAACTACTTTTATTTTTGTGTACGTACATTACATTTTCATAAATGTATTGAGAGGCCAAAGTTAATATATTAATTTCCTTAAATTTTTGTCGCAGCGACTCTTTAGGCTTTAAATCATAAATTGCTCTTATGGCCCTCTTCTGTAAAACAAATATAATTTCAGTGTCAGCTGCGTGTCCCCATAGCAAAATACCATACGACATTATGCTATGGAAATAGCTGAAGTAAACTAGTCTAGCTGTTTCAACACTGGTTAGACTTCTAATCTTTTACAGCATATGCTGCAGAAGTAAGTCTGCTTGCTAGTTTTGATATATGGGGGCTCCATTGAAGCTTCGCGTCTAGTGTGATTCCAAGAAAAATGGTGGTATCTACAAGACTCAGTTTCTCCCCATTTAAAATTACCTACGAATGACATATTCATATTTCCTCAAAAAGAAATTTAGCTGTCTTTTGTCGCCATTAAAAAGTAGAATAAGCCGTAGCATTTCTGTAGGAATGGGATTAATTACAACGGTTTGTCGTTCTGCTGCCATTGGCTGTTACATCGTTATAGAGCACGAGTCAGAGGAGTCAGTTAACATAGTGCGCTTTTTTATGAAATAACACAAAATATAAGATAGAACATACTAAAGAATATAAAAATATAATTTATAAAATAAAAGTTTATTTAAAGTATAAAATATGTAGTAGATGTAAATGTAATGAAAAATACGAGTAAAAATAAATGAAATAAAACTGTATTATATTTCTAGCATTAATAAAACATATACTATGAATATAATTATCAAGAAGCTTGAATTACATTTAATTTATTATTTTTATAAAAAGTCTCATTTTTAAAATGTTTAATAATCCCTGAGCGAAAAGGGACTCTGTGTCCTGTAACTAGGAAACTAGAGGAAAACAACATGCCAGCAGTATATGCAGTACTCGTATTACTCAGACATTGCTTTACATCTGACTATCTATTGTGGAAGGAACAGTTTTACAAGCAAGTAGATGGTGTTGCGTTGGGCTCACCAGTATCTCCCATTGTCGCCGATATTTTCATGGAGGACTTTAAGGAGAAAGCCCTGCTTACTGCACCAGTAACTCCAAGTTTCTACAAGCGGTACATAGACTATACTTTCACAATTTTACCATCAGACAAAGTAACTGCATTTTTAGAACATCTTAATTCCATAAACTCTAAAATTCAATTTACTATGGAGTTAGAGGCAAATAATTCTTTAGCTTTCCTAGATGTGTTAGTCATTCGAAATCCTAATAACACCGTAGGTCACACTGTGTATAGAAAAAAGACCCATACAAACCAATATTTAAACGGTGAATCCAACCAATCACCCTTTACAGTTAGCTACCGTGGGCAAATCTTTGTTGCAGAGAGCACGAGGGATCTGTGACAGCAAACACCTGGCCGCCGAGCTTCGGCATGTCAAGCAGGTTCTGCACGACAACAAGCTTCGGGTTCCGCGCCTACGTCACAGTGACCGAGTGAAGACAGCCACAGTCAAGCGTGTGCCTTCTGTACTACCATATGTCAGAGGTGTCACAGACAAGATTGGCTGCATCTTGAAGCGAGCTTCTATTAGACATTCTTCAAGTTGCTGAAGAATATTAGTCAGTTCTTAACATCCGTCAAGTGTCATATCCCTCTACAAGATGCAGGAGTGTACAAGCTGGATTGTGAATGTGGTCTCTCGTATATAGGACAAGCAAAAAGATCTATTAAAACCCGCGTTAAAGAACATATAGCTGACGTGAAGCACCGACGTATAGGGAATTCTGCAGTATGTGAACATGTTCAAGATCGTCCCCGCCATTACCTTAGATTTGATAGACCACAAATCCTCGCAAATGAACACTGATTCCTCCTAAGGATGATTCGCGAGGCTATTGAAATTAAAAAACATCCTAATTTCAATAGAGAGGGAGGCTGGGTACTACCACCTGCTTGGGATACTGTCATTCCTTAAATTAAAACTAAACCCAAGCATACCACTACAAGACTTCAAGACACAGTTAGTTCATTCTGCGTAGATTGGACCAAAATTAATAACTAAAAAGCTGAAGGTACTCCGGGCTAACTTCGACATAGGGACGTTAACCACCTCAGTCCCCCGTAACCACGGTTTCTGGAAAGCTACCGAAACGTCGGGAATATAAAATAACTTAATTAAACGCGATAAAATCCGTAAAAGTAGTTTTATTTCTCTTCACGTATTCTCATACGGTGGTAGAGCCTTGCAGCAGCTTTTGCTGTTGCACGTATGGGCCGGCTCGAGCCGGGTTAGTACCACGACCTCACAGAATACCGGCGTGAAGTGGAAGCTCTGCTTCCGCGTTTCGTCTGGTGAGTGCAGGTGACCGGAGGCCTAATCGGGGTCGATCAGCCGGTGATCTTCTGGTCTACTTAACTCATAGATGGGCGTTGGCAGTAGAGTCCAAGGTGGAGGCATTGGCCGTTAGTTTGGACATTGCGAAGGCCTTCGATCGGGTTTGGCACAAAGCGCTTCTTTCGAAGCTCCCTTCCTATGGGCTTCCCGAGAAATTATGCAATTGGATCACCAGCTTTCTTGCAGATCGGAGCATCAAGGTCGTTGTAGACGGTGCATGCTCCGACTACAAGCCTATTAACGCTGGTGTTCCACAAGGCTGCGTGCTATCACCAACGCTGTTTCTTCTGCATATCAATGATATGTTGCAAGCCGGTAGCATTCATTGCTATGCGGATGACAGCACTGGTGATGCTCTATACACCGGCCGTGCCAATATTTCTCGGGAAAACGTCAACGAGTACCGGAACAAACTTGTGTCTGAAGTCGAGTCTTTGCTGGACAAAGTCTCGGATTGGGGGCGACTAAATCTAGTCCAGTTTAATCCTCAGAAGACACAAGTTTGCGCGTTTACCGCTAAAAAGAACCCCTTTGTCGTATCTCCTCAGTTTCAAGGCACTCCCCTTCTTGCCTCAGCCAGTATCGGTATCCTCGGAGTCGACATATCGAGTGACGTGCAGTTTCGTGGTCACTTGGAAGAGAAGGCCAAATTGGCGTCTAAAAAGCTTGGCGTGCTCAGCAGAGCGGGACAGTATTTCATGCCGGCACACCGCCTGCAACTTTACAAGGCGCAGGTTCGGCCTCACATGGAATACTGTTCCCATCTCTGGGCAGGGGCTCCCCAGTGCCAGCTCCTTCCACTTGACCGCATCCAGCGCAGAGCGGCTCGAATCGTCGACGACCGAGCCCTTTCCGATCGGCTCGACTCATTGGCACTGCGAAGAGATGTTGCATCTCTTAGCATTTTCTTTCGCATTTACCATGGGGAGTGCTCTGAAGAATTGTTCGGATTAATCCCAGCCGCCAAATTTCACGAACGCACATCGCGGCAGAACTTCAGATACCATCCACACCATCTGGATGATTGGCGGTCCACCACTGTGCGATTTAGAAGATGTTTTCTTCCTCGCACAACTTCCTTGTGGAATAGTTTACCACCAGCGATTTTTCCGGACCGATACGACTTAGGGACCTTCAAGAAAAGAGCCTACTCCTTTTTAAAAGGCCGTCAACGCATCTGCAATTCCCCTGGTGTTGCGGTTGTTCATGGGCGGCGGTAGTCACTTACCATCAGGTGAGCCGCATGCTCGCTTGCCCCGTCTCCTTTAAAAAAAAAAAAACGCTTTTCTCACTCTCTCTCTCTCTCTCTCACACACACACACACGCACAGGTGCACGCGCACGCGCTCTCACCCGCGCGTGCGCGAGCGCACGCACACGCACACGCACAGGTAGGCTACATAACCACTTTCCATCAGGTTTAATTGTAGTTAGCGCTGGCTAAGTATAGAATAAAAAGAAATTTAATTAATTCTTCTAACCAACCATAAAAATCTATTACGTGATACGGGAATATGTATATAAGAATAAAGGTTATCTCACACAGGACAGTAATAATATAATATTGTATTTTCAGTATCTAAGCATAAAATCTTTTTAAATCTATGAATCCCGAGGTGAGTTCATATTAAGAGGCTGAATAGAGCTAAATTGATGTGCATGGGGATCATTTTGTGATTTCACATAGTTATCGAAAAAAATAACTGACTGAGAACTTACAATTGAGCGTATTCCAGGTGGCGCTTTTCAAAACATGATTCCACAAAATTTTCTACATAGAATAACTGCAAAGTAGCTTCTGAAAATACTTAAATTTTCAACTTTCTAAGATTTCCATAATATAATGTTGAGTATAATAAGTACAATTATGTGTCACGTGTTAAAAAAGCTATTGAGCTATTTTGATTTTTAATAACGTGATTTTACTAATAATTTATTTTGTCCTTCTATACCAATTAGCGTTTTTTCTGTCACTTCTATTGAATTTCACAGTGCTCGCTGAAATTTAGCGGCTCTAAACGGATTTGAATCGCGCGCTAACCCGGCTGTTAAGGTATTGCAAAATTAATCAAAAATATTTATTTTTACTTTCATTCCGAATACTTTTTTTTATAGGAGAGGGGGCAAACGAGCATGCGGCTCACATGCAGGCGGTGTGCCGGCATGAAACTGCACGCTATTCGATATGTCGACGCCAAGGATTCCGATACTGGCTGAGGTAGCAAGGGGAGTACCTTGAAACTGAGGAGATACGACAAAGGGGTTCTTTTTAGCGGTAAACGCACAAACTTGTATCTTCTGAGGATTAAGCTGGACTAGATTTAGTCGCCCCCAATCCGAGACTTTGTTCAACAAAGAGTCGACTTCAGACACAAGTTTGTTCCGGTACTCGGTGACGTTTTCCCGAGAAATATTGGCACGGCCGGTGTATAGAGCATCACCAGTGCTGTCATCCGCTTAGCAATGAATGTTACCAGTTAGCAACATATCATTGATATGCAGAAGAAACAGCGTTGGTGATAGCACACAGCCTTGTGGAACACCATCGTTAATAGGCTTGTAGTCAGAACATGCACCGTCTAGAACGACCTTGATGCTCCGATCTGCAATGAAGCTGGTGATCCAATTGGACAATTTCTCGGGAAGCCCATAGGAAGGGAGCTTCGATAGAAGCGCTTTGTGCCAAACCCAATCGAAGGCCTTCGCAATGTCCAGACTAACAGCCAATGCTTCCCCCTTGGACTCTACTGCCTCCGCCCATTATGGGTCAGGTAGACCAGAAGATCACCAGCTGATCGATCCCGACGAAAACAGTATTGGTGGTCACTAATCAGCTGGTGATCCTCAACGTACCGGATGAGCTGGCAGTTAATAATGGATTCCATTATTTTGGAGAACAAGGAGGTGATCGCGATAGGCCTATAGTTGGACGGGTCTGAGCGGTCGCCTTTTTTAGGGATCGGGTGGACAAAAGCTGTCTTCCATGAATTCGGGACTACGCCTTGGGAGTAGGAGTACCGGAAAAGACGCGTTAGGACCGGTGCCAACTCCGGAGCACACATCCTTAGCACAATTGCGGGGATTCCGTCAGGCCCACTCGACTTCTGGATGTCCAGGTAGAGGAGTGTTTTGCGAACCGAGCGCTGTGAGAACAGCACATCCGGCATGGAGCACTCACACCGCGGGATGGTCGGCGGTGTTTTTCCCTGTCATCAAGAGTCGATTTGGACGCAAAAAGGAAGTGATGGCTTACAGAAATTCCCTTTACCAGCCTTGGCAAGAGACCAAAATGCACGGGTTGCCGAAGGAATGCGAACTATTTTCTCGCCAATTCTGCCTATGTGCTCTGACTTTGCCTTGGCAATAACTATTTTGAAGGACCTGGAGGCGAAGTTATACTTCTTTTTAAGTGTGCTGGTGTTTACATCCCGAGTCGCCGAAGCCGCAGCCCAGGCTTGATAACACTCCTGCTTACTGCGTAATGCAGTCTTACAGGAGCGACCAAGCCAAGGCTGAGTTCTGCCTCCGATGGGTACCACAGATGATGGAATAAATAGTTCCATTCCCTGTAGCACCACATCAGTGACAGAGTCAGCAACAGCGCTGGGATCATCCGGCGAGAAGCAAACCCGCCCCCATGGGTAGGATGCAAAGAAAGACCGCATTCCGTCCCAATCCGCCGACCTGTAATGCCAAACACGGCGGCAACCTGCAGATCGCAACCGCGAAGGGAGCGTGAGTGGCACTACACTCCGGATCAGACAATGATCCGAAGAGCCGAGAGGAGCATCGACGGAAACCTGATATCCGTCCGTATGAGAGATCAGCAGAAGGTTCAACAGGGAAGGTGTATGATCCTCCACATCCGGAATCCGCGTAGGCGAAGTAACCAGTTGTGTCAGACCATATGCCAAGGCAAACTCATAAACAGATCTCCCCGCATGATCGGTTAAACGTGAACCGGGCCATTCGGCATGGTGGGCGTTAAAATCGCCAAGGATCACGATCTCTGCGGATGGGACCTGTTGTAGCAAGGAATCTGTAGCCATTTGGAGGTGGTCAATGAGTCGGTTTGTTTCGGCATTACCGCTATGGGACCTATAGAGGCACCCGTAGACGCGCGGATGGTCGTCGCTGTCTACGCGTAGCCATAGGATGGACAGGTCCGAACCTTCAATACTGCCGAAGCGTCGAGAACAGATGTCTTCTCTGACATACACGCAAACTCCAGCCCGAGGCACAAAGGAGTGCTCCAATTTGTACGTAGGGGAGATACGAAATATCAGCCGGAGAGGAAACCTGCGTCTAGGTCAGAAAGAGCAGGCCAGCTTCGCTGTCTCGAGATGGTAGTGGACGGCGTTTAGGTTAGAGCGAAGTCCCATGATGTTGCAGAAATTCACGGATAGCGTGGCAGTGGTCGCCTTGGTATTGTTGCTCAGTTTGCCCCGAGCAGTTATGTTCGACTACATAATTATCTTGTTCTATTTTATTACGGTTAAATGTTGTAAAGCAAGTATGTATTTACAAATGTTTTCATTATTTTGTTATTCAATTGTTTACAGTTATTATCACAGTTTAGCTTACATTAGAATTTATTGGTGGGATACGATGTATAAATAGGTACCTTATTTTCGTCAACAACTATAATATATATATGTTACTGTAAAAGCTAGAACTACGGTAAATTCTAAGATTATTTCTAAAAAAAAGCTTTTACAAAAATTTACTTCGCAAATATCCGCGTTATAAAATAAAATGATGTGTCTTACCTAGTATGAAGAAGCACCTCCCGCCCTCCCTCAATTGCGTGCACTATCCCCGTCACCACTAATCCCAGCACCGCTACTCCCAACACCACTACACTAGGCAAGACACACCACTGACGATAATACGACACGTGTTTCGCCTCTACACGAGGCATCCTCAGGTGATATAGACTCTACGGTGGCTAACCGCTAAGTGCTGGTTAGCGGTTAGCCACGCGCGAGCGAAGTCGCGGGTAACAGCTAGTTAGATAATAAAAGTTTCTATGTAAATAGGTGTAACATAGCAGGTATTATATTCTTCGGTAGCGACCATTCATTGGGACAGTTTTCTGCAACACTACTCCTACAAATAATACCAAATAAGAAATACCAAAGCCAGGTTCATTCTTAACGCGCATTTATTAGCTTGATATGTATCTATGTAACGGAATTTTGAATGTGATTTTCATCCCTGCAAAATGTCACATTGATTTGAAACTTTGCACACTTTCCAAGGACCGATGACAATGCAATAATTTAAATAATTTGTCCCATTAACCTTGCCAGGATCCCCAGGATTTGTGATTAATTCATAAAACAACTAAGATTTCTGCCAGTTCAATCTACTGTAAGCCGCGTTAAAGAACGTACTAAAATAGAAAATAAATAATGGTTTAAAAAAAGTATGTAAATATGCTTGTACCTTATCATGTTATGCGTACTGTTTTAACAAAAAATTCTCGAATCAAAGGGCTACACTAAGACTTCATCATCATCATCATCATTACAGCCCTTCACAAGTCCACTGCTCAACATAGGCCTCCTCCGAGGAATGCCACAAAGCACGGTCCTGAGCCACCTGAATCCATCGACTTCCCAAATATCTTACCAGGTCGTCACTCCATCTAGTGGGGGGACGCCCTAAACTTCGTCCGGTGGTACGAGGCCGCCACTTGAGAACCTTTTTCCCCATCGGTTGTCAGTTCTACGAGCTATATGGCCGGCCCATTGCCACTTCAGCTTACTAATCCGTTGGGCTATGTCGGTCACTCTGGTTCTACTGCGGATATCCACTATTTACTATAAATTATAAACTACACAACAGTATAGAGATATTTTCTTTATTATATTTCATAATTTTGTCATTTGGCAACATTTCTTCTATTACTTTATAAGGACCTTTATTTAATTACTTTTTAGTAAATTTTGTTTGGCGTCTAATTGTGGTTTTTACAAACGGTACAACGGTTCTATTGGATAATCGTCGAAGTTGTATAAAAATTGAGAGAATTTGACAAGTTACTTGGTATATTTTCCCAAAGACCAATTCATTCGGAGATCATAAGCGGTAATGAAGCCTCCATAGAAGCCGAGAAGCCGGGTTTGCCCTATCAAACTGCTCAATCAATAATATTAACTAACAAAATAACTCGTAAACTGTTTAAAACTATTTCAAATTTCCCGCGCGCTCCTTTGTTCTCCACAGATTGTTTATGCCCAAATTTGGTCATTTTGAACGCCATCCAATCGCGTTCATGCTGGCGCGTCACCCGATGGTATGTAGGTGAGATAAACGCCGCCAGGTGGGGCGGCCGTGTGCAGCTTGTGTGGCTCGACGCGTGGGCGAAGATGATGAGTAGCTCGCTGGCCACGATGCGCTGAATCCGCGTATCTAGGTTATCGCGACCGAAGTTCACGTGACCGTTGTAGGATCCAGATGGTTAGATTTAGTGCGTGTTACTTCGCTACGGCGATATGTCAATTTTGCAATATTTAACTTGCTCGGGTGATGCGGAATTTCGCACGCTCGCGCCGAATAGATATACGGTCTAGGATTCGAACCGAACCAAAACCCCCTCTTCCACACACTTGGCATACACCGAGTAAAATTCCCTCGGTGCCGCAATCCACACATTCCTCACGATTCTCGCACTCACTCCATCGAGCCCCGGAGCCGTGTTGGGCAAGGCCTTAACTATACTACCCAGTTCCTCAACTTTAAGTGGAGGCGCAGCTCCACCCGACGGCATGAAAGCCGCCAGCAGACGAACCTGCCGGTGATAAGGCGAGTCGCAGTCAGTGCTGTCATCCGGACAGAGCGCAGACATTAATTTATACATCGCTGCTTCCAGACCGTCCGGGTGTACACCCGCAAAGGCGATCACATTGATCACATTTGCAGGCGGACGTACCCTGCCGCTGGAGAGCCTGTATGCAAAGCCCCATGGGTCCTCATTGCCAAAGTTGGCAATCTCTTCCTGTGCTGCGACTGCTGCGCCTCCACCATCATCTTCCTATATCTCGCACGCACACTATGGAAAGCCATCCTGGCTAACTCCTCAGACCTACCTCCCAGACGCCTTTTACTCTGCCAAGCACGCCTAAGTTTGCATTGCAACTTCCGAGTTTTATCCAGTTCAAATGTCCACCATTCATACCCCCCGACCCCCTGGGGCGACGCTCCCCTAGGCCTTCCTCCGCAGAGCGAATTACGATCCCTGAGAACTCCTTCGCCAGGAGAGCCGCGGGTTTTTCTACGTGCAGCCATCCCATTCGTAATTTGACAATCGCCCGGAACCTTTCCCAATCCACCTCTCGGTCACGAAAACGGGGGGGATCCCTAACGGATGCTGCGCGCGACGTCGACCTGCTGGTAGTGGCCGTGTAAGTTATTAAATTATGATCGCTGGCGTATACCCCCTCGTGCACTCGCCACTCGGCAAGGTAGACGTCCCCAGTGGAGAGGGTCAGGTCCACGTTGGACTCACCCCTAGGCCCAGAGAAGGTGTAGGGCTGGTCAGGCATATTCGCCAACGTTAAAGCATGTGTGATAATAAACGCCTCCATTTGCTGCCTTCGATATTGTACATTTTGTCCTCTTCCCACGTAGTGTCGGCGATCACAATACCAGAGTGGCGAGTGCGCATTGGCGTCGAGGCCCATGATCACCCTTCTGCCCTTAAGGCAACTCAGGGCGAACTCTAAGTGGTGCAGGTGGTCATCAATAGTGTCGGTAAATTTAAAGTACGCTGACACCATATAGAGGTCCCATCAGTCAACATGGCACACCACACAAAATTCGTTGCTGAGGTGGCTCAGCACTGCTACCCCAATTGCTGGGTCGGCAAGATAGATGCCCGCCCACGGGTGATAGCCCACCTGAACGATCCCCGCAACCTGGGAGTACTGTTCTTGTACAAGAACAATGTCCAGGTGCAGTTCACGCGCCAGGATGGGCAGCTCAGCCGCGGCGAGCTCCCCTCGACCCAGGTTGATTTGTCCTAATCGTAGTGCCTTGTCTTCCTGGTTAACTATGGGGCTGCCCTTATCGGCAGTACTGAGTGGTGGCCACGGAGCGTTGCTCTGCATACAGCCTTGCTGGGCAGTTCCTCGCCATGGTCACGTGCGAGCCAGAGTCAGTTCTACCAAATCGCTTGCGCACTTCTCCTCCGTAGACTTGCAGGCACCACGTTCATGTCCCGCCTCTCCACATTTCCCACATACGACCTCCTTCGATCGGCAGTACTTCGCAGGATGCCCATACTGTTGACACCTCTGGCAGCACGTGACGTCCACGTAATCACACGGCTCAACCACGTCCCAGCCGACGTATAACCGATTGTATCCGATCAAGATATCTCTCAAGGCAGCCGAACATTGAAGGATCACGGTTGTCCTTCTGCAGGACTTTTTGAAAGCAATCCTGCAGTTTTCCTTCACTTTTGCTTCGGTCCATCCACAAGCAGCAAGGTTCTGCTCGTGGAGGCCGCTGATTATATCCTCATTCTTGGGGTCCTCCTCAAAACCCCTAAGAGCCACCAGTGGTAAACGTTAAAGATGGGAACAGTATTCAATGTGAGGCCGAACCTGTGCCTTGTAAAGTTGCAGGCGGTGTGCCGGCATGAAATAATGTCCCGCTCTACTGAGCACGCCAAGCTTTTTAGAGGCCAATTTGGCCTTCTCTTCCAAGTGACCACGAAACTGCACGTCACTCGATATGTTGACGCCGAGGATTCCGATACTGGCTGAGGCAACAAGGGGAGTGCCTTGAAACTGAAGAGATACGACAAAGGGGTTCTTTTTAGCGGTAAACGCACAAACTTGTGTCTTCTGAGGATTAAACTGGACTAGATTTAGTCGCCCCCAATCCGACACTTTGCCCAGCAATGACTCGACTTAAGACCCAAGTTTGTTCCGGTACTCGGTGACGTTTTCGGTGAAGCCGGGTTTGCCCTATCAAACTGCTCAATCAATAATATTAACTAACAAAATAACTCGTAAACTGTTAGTGTATACAAAAAAGTAATATAATTTTTTGTATACACGTAAACAACACCAAATTATTACATTGATAAATTAAAAGGTATAACATTTCATTAAACATGGTGGATATAATAAAAAGAATTACAATTAACTTAATTACTTTGAAACTTAAATTGTATTATTTTAAAAAATTGTAGTAGTGTTTTATTGGAAAATAATTGTTGGAGAAAGATAGCTCAGGTGAAAAATGGTGTACACAGCTTCGAACTTTAAAAAGTTTATTTCGGTTAACGCCTTACAGTTATAACGAAGTTATATCTAATGACATAATATGGTAGGTAAAATAAAAAAAAAATAATGCACTACGATTGTTTTTCAAACAACACATTCCGTGATGATACATTGCAAGTAGTACGGTCACAGGCTCTGCAACATGCCCCTGGACATTGAAAGCTCGACTTTCAATGGGAAGTACTGTCAAGAAGCGGACAAATTTTGTTAAACGCCCGTTTGAATACTCCACCAGCAGTCTTAATTTCTGCAACTCAATTAACTCCATCGGTGCTGGGATGCAAAGCGATGGTGCGCCCTAATCTACATTTAAGTGGCGGAAGAGAGTCTTCTTTTATGACCACTAAAGTATTCAGGCTTAATTTGGACTCATTACAGTGCCACTAAACTCTTTGTTGAAGCTTACTTATGCATTTTTTCCTCCAATGTATCCAGAAGTGATGAAGACATTGTTGTAAGCGCTGGAAGTGGTTGAGATACTTTGGAGAATGGGTTACACAATCAGGCAATAGTAGTGCAGTTAATGGCCGTCCAGTGATGAAATGTCCAGGTACCCAACGGGAGCTAGTCGTCGGGATCCGATGACAGAGGCGTTAGCAGTCTTGAATTTAAAACCGCCTTGATTTGGATTAACGCAGCTCCTCATATGTTAATTGACAATTTCCCATTACTCGTTGCAAGTGAAACTTAATAGATTTTACACCCGCCGCCCAAAGTCCTCCAAAATGCGGAGTGTACTGAGAAATAATGTGAAAGTTTACATACGCGACATTCTCAGACAACGAAGATTTATTACTTTTCAAAACTTTACCAAATTTCATTATAATATGCTCCAACAAATGAGGTACCGTTATCAGAATAAATATCTGTCAGTTTTCCAATGATGGTGTGTGTGAAGGAAGTAACTCTCACACCACACGGCCATAGATATTAAGTGAGGGGTATTAGAGTCAGGCAGGATTGGCGTATAAACTCGTCGCCCATGATTGACTTGAAGTATCGCAGCCGATGACCGAGTGACGGTGAAGGAAGTAACCTTCACATCGCATGGCTATAATTAAGTTTTAGTGAGAATTTTGTGCGTCGGGCATGATTGGCTTATGAATTAACTGCCCGTGAATAACTCAATCATTATAAGTGATAGCGTTGTGAGAGTGAAGGAAGTAGCTCTCACTTTGCACAGCTGTAAAATATAGATGTAACACATTGTACTATGGTAACCACTAGTAATTTAAATTGTATGACAATTTATGTAAGTTTAAGAAATATGAATACATTATATTAAAAATATGTATAATGTTATGTTCAATTAACATATTAAAACATATTAAAAATTAAAACAGTATCATTATAGTAACTTATAAGCTAAAAAGAAACGAAGGGACTCGTTTTTGAAGGATGTTCGACTGTAACAAGAATTGCCCATTAGATTAGTTGTTTACATCACTCGCATCTCAATACTAAAGAGTGATCAAGAGTGGTCAAGTCTAATCATAACTGAGAGAATAATCGATTACGTTTCGACTCTATCGTGTTAAAGTGACGTCAAATATTGTCTGTGGATTAAAAGTTAGCACTTAGCAGTCGGGAATCATTCAGAGA